CAAATTCCATCATGTCAGCTGATAAGCTTGCAAAGGCGAATTTTGATATCAAAATTAAAAAGAGAAATATTTTGAAAGTAATTATAAAAAATAAAAGATATTCCATACTTATTTCATGAGCAATTGACTGATCATGCATGTCTCACATGATTTTTTTTTTTGTGCTTAAAATAATTATTTGAATTTGTAAAGAAACCAGCAATCAGGAAAATTGAAGGTCCTATCAGAAATCAGAATTCCTTGCTCAAAATGCTAGCTTATCTTGAAGTCGATTGTAAATAAAAAGAAGGAAAAACTGGATATGACTTCCTGAACAATCTTGTCTCTAAGGGCATTGAAAATAAGATAAATATCGCTTTGGTAAATGATTCAACAAGATAAATATTCATATACCTGTCAGTTATTTGCAGCTAATATAACCAAACATCATGGCTTTACTCTGACATTAATGATGTGCTGTATCTTGTGGCTGTATTTTCATTAGCAAAGCCTAATTTTTTTCTCCCGAATTTTCCCATACAATCTTTAAGTGAAATCTGTACAAATTGTAAAATACTGGGTAATTTGCGTAGAAGAATGTTATGGTATCACCCTGTAACATGTGATGCAAAATTGACCTTCATAATTTTCTTCCATAAATTGTTTTTAAAATATTGATCAATCCCTGTAAAAAATTATTAAAAAAAAAAAAAAAATAATCCTCTCATCGTGTTGTTAATTGTTCAAGAGTTAAAAGTCGGATTTTAACAGTGGCGTATTCAATTGTACACACGCTTGAAAGGCCTGATATCCGTCTTTGTGTAACTATTCATCAGTGCTTATTCTGGCCTGTGTTCAACACGTGATTGTGTGTGTATATGCGTGTGTGTGCATGCAGGGATGGATTTTGATCTCTTGACTGCTGCCATTGTGAAATTACCTGCATATACTAATATGTTCTATTTGGGTGTTGCAAGGAGAGACAATGTAAACATATCACCTGAGTTGACTGTTTATCAATCACGCCATGTCACTTTTTTAGTATGCAAATTAATAAACTCATGAATAATTTATAACAGCAAAATACCTTGATTTCGCTCAGATTAGCTCGATTGAATCAAAATACTGTTGAAAGCAACATTTTGTCTTTAAGTCTTGTTATAAAATACAGAGCAATAAAAATGTCATCACTTCTAGATTTTATATCCGCTGCTTCATCTCTCCAGCACAAAATAACGGAAACAATTCTAGGTTAAGAATAAAATATAGAAATGAAATAGATTTATTTTCAATTAATTTCTGGCATAGGAGTCACTGTATTTAGAAATAGGATACAACGGTCATGTCAGTTTTTTCACTGGTAATTGCTTTCATCTTGATCTGAAAATTCTGATTTATATTCAGAGTGACTGACGCTCTAAAGCGTCATCATCTACTGTAGCACCATTACCTAGCTGAGTTCTGTTTCTGGTAGGTTGTACACGTTTACAGGGTGCTCAACTTGATGATACCTTAAAAAAAAAATTTGTTATTCTGCCAATACGCAAAACGGGTAATTAAAATTTAACATTTCAAATAATTGCATTTTTTCGTTTCATGATGTTTCATTTCAGCCACCGGTGGTGAGAGAACAGCGTTCATAACATCATCCAATAATATTGTTTAGTAAAATCACATTTTCAAAATTGTAATTTAAGCGGGCCATGAAAGAAATGCCATGAAAGGTCCATGTAGGATTCAATATTTACCAGTCCGACCGAATAGTTATTTGTCTAGGGCATACAGACGGACAGTCATTTCAAACACTGCCATTTTGTTTTCTATGCATAACATGTACCTTTCACTGATTATTGTGAAAGTTGATGATTACCATCAGAGTTTTGTATCAATCCTAGTCGCATAATTGAAAAAAAAAATCATACAGCCAGCTCATTTTTGATGTGACGCAGATTTCAGGACGTGACTGCGTTGTGTGATTTTTTTTTATGTTAAAGACTTCTGCGATCACATAAAATAAATAAATAACAGAGACGGGGCTTCAATGCTCTGGAGGTAGTGGAAAGTTCTTTATTCACTTGCGACATATCAATGGCAATTCCTGCATAGAATGATGCCATATTGGGATCATTTTTGAGCAACTGGTCACTTCACCTTATGTGCTTATAGTGTTGTTTGTTATTTAACAGAGGGGTGTCTGCGACTGTTATGGTGTTTTGTTTATTTGGCATGACCCAGGCTAAAGATGGTCCATTCAATCGACCCCACCCTGCAGTGTGGAGATTGATATTAATGCTTAGTGTTATCTATGAGCTTATTTTGGTCTTTGTACTCTTCCAGGTAAGTTGTATCCCTTGCTTCATATATGAATATTAATGAGCTCATGAATATTAATTAGCGACCAGTACTCAAAACACCTATAGTGTTTCAAATGTGACATTACTAAGAATTATTCGCTCACAAAACAAAAATGTTTATTTAACATGAAAACCAAAATACCTGGCTGCGTGTACGTACAAATGCAGACTTAGTTGACATAGTGGAACTGTTTATATTACTGAGTGTCTGTTGGTATCAACTTTATATTTTTGGCTTCTTCGCAAAATATACCTTGGATAATTCTCTAACAGATTTGTTAATTTCATGACAATATCTTCAATTCTCTGAGTTTGATGAATACTTATGGTAAAAAGTGATATTTTCGACTTCGTCTTGAAAATCGTAAGTCTGATTTGCTTTAATAATGAACATACAGGTACTCCATGCAAACCTCTCAAAGACTTGCTTTATTTTACATATTCATATCGATTTAATTTAGTGGATTTTATTTATCAGCAAAAATAGCGAAATTAAAACCCAGTCACCCTATCTTCACATAGTGACCTTAACAATGTCCATCCAGCCACCCTAATTCTCCATCAACATCCAGTGACCTTATATTTATTCATCTCTTTGTAGACTGTGGATGATGCAAGACAGTTACTAAAATACTTGGACAAAGATTTAGGTAAACCTCTTCCAGAAACTTCCTATGGTGAAAATTGTGTGTTTTATGACCCCGACCATCCTGATCCTTTCCATAATTTTTGGGTAAGTTCTGATATTGTTTTTTGTTTTGTTTAATATATTTTCATTCAAATCCTCTCCTCTCCTAATGAACAAGTATTGCATTGCACTTTTATCGATACATCATATTTGCTGTTTTTGAAGCGCATAATTTTCGGAAAATGTCATCAGTACATAGCATTCTGATTGGTTAATGATATCATGTCATAAATTGAGAGTTTGCGTATGATTGAAAATATTTCATAATGACGATAAAAGATTTTGCCTTGAAAGACCTCAAGGGCCATAACATTTTTTGTTTGTGGCACAAGTCACCAATACAATGTACAACAATGTACAGACATTACCTACAATGTTATTTTTTCTTGAAGACCAAACTTCCCCAGCAGTCAATAATCTGACTCAACTTGATTTCTGGTGATTCCATTTTGATTGACAAAATTGGTCAGTGTTAGGAGAACACACTGCTACGAAGTACTATGGCCTTGTTCTGAAGGCATATTTTATTTTATTTTGTTAATACTGCTTTGCATTATTCGCAATTTCTTGTACTGTTCATCTTTGTGATGTGTAAATTGTCATGTTTTCTATTTTCCCATTTTTTTAAAATTTTAATCATGTTGTACTTTTCAGAAAAAATGGGATTTTTTCTTGGTTGCGCATGTGTTTGGATGGTGGTTCACGAGTTTAATGATTCGTGACTTTTGGGTGTCCCACGTGGTCAGCATACTCTTTGAACTGATGGAGTACACTTTAGAACATCAGCTTCCAAACTTTAGCGAATGCTGGTGGGACCATGTAAGTACAGGTTATAACAGTACAATGTTTTATCAAACTTTGAAACATTGATAGTCTCCAATTTTCAGTGTTCATGACATGTACGACAGTGGAAAGAAGATTATAGGTAAAAAAGATTATTAGAGAAAGCATTTGTAATGAACAAAAACAACAAACCCTAATATACAAAAAAATAATATAGCAATTTAGTATTAAAAGGTGGTCGTCACGCCGTGCATGTGCGACATTTGTGTTGATAAACATTGATTGTCCCCCACAGTTCAATGCACTTTTGACAATGAAATCACAAGCACAAGCTTTGCCCTGGGCGGCCCTTGCTCTAATTACCATCACGACTTCTTTGACACCTTCCAATCATCAAAAACTTGGCCGAACTTGATTTGTGTTTTCTTGGTAATTCTAGTCTAGTACTTCATCATGTTTATGCTCCAGTCAATGTCAACCCCCACCCTCCCCACCTCGGGGTTTAGTGGGGGATTTGGAAATTATTGTTGTCAAATTTGCGAAATGCCCCACCTCCTGGGGCAAGATGGATAGGCAAATCCCCACCCAAAACAAACCCCCCACATTTCTT